AGAAATCAAGTCAAATTTGGGATGAATTATTTATCCAGATTAAGATCATTTTCAGGTTTTTAATGTGAGGCTTAGTATTCTTTCTGGTGGGGTTTAGAGCACCAAAGTATTATCCCTGAACACCAGAGTACTGTAAAGAACTCAGTATTAATGTGGTTTAGCTAGTCAGTCTTGTATTTACTAGCAGAGGGGTAGCAAAAAGGGAGGTGATGGCCTTTTTTGAGTGCTGTAAGAGTACCCAAAAGCATGCATGTCATATTAGCTGACAACACAATCAGACACAGAACTATAGCTATTTATCTCCTGTGAACATTAAATTGCATATTTATTAGTCCAAAGAGACAAAACAATCAAGCAATCATGATAATAGAGCTCCTGAACTAAAGAAAGCTTTGAGTTCATTATTTTGTGTGCATTCATGGAAAGTCTGTGATATTTTACCAGGAAAACATTTGCAGTAAAGAGCAAAGTACCTAAGTAACCCATATTTCAAACATTTCCAAAGAGAGTGGTTTCTGATCTTTAAGCTGGCAATGGACAGATTTCTGGGAACTTGGCTATAGCAACATGCAAGAAAGATGAAGCTGATTCTTTAACTACTTTGTAAAGTGTTCATGTCTCACCCCCTCTTACTGCCACTGAGTGTAATCTGAGAAGCATCATACAAAAATATGATATTGAAAACAGCTGTCTGGATCTAGACCTGCTCTTGAATGACTAAAGGAAAGGAAAGGAAAAATCAGTTTAGCACAGCAGATTAGAAAAAAAAAATTATATTTCTTTTCCCTTTGGAGAGTACAATCTGATAGAAGGTATTGAGAAAAACATAAATAAACCTGTTAACAAGCAAACTGAGACTTACTTTACGAGCCAGATTCTTAAAAAGAGAGAAAAAGCAATGAAACTACACCAATTCTCAGTGTGAGCAGAAGGCCCTGGTGGAACAGTCTTGGTTCAGGCAGTGACAGAGAACAGTAGAAGACAGTCTGTTTCCAATGAACTCAGTCCAATCTTTTCCATTTCATTGGAAGTTGGAAAGCATGTGAGTTACAACGCATATCTTGAATCTGAATTAATCATCTTGGTTCCTTGAGCAGTCATCAGGGAGAAATGGGCAATGAGTGATGTAATGAACCCTCAACATTAATTTTTTTATTCTAGCTGCAATTCAAATTTGCAATTCATTTTTAAAAATAGATTGTTAAAATAGAGATTTCTAATAGAAAGAGAAGTTTTATATTACAACTAAATATATATATATATAGTGAGAATTTCTGCCTTTCCAGTGCCTCACGGGAAGGGAAGAACAAACAGGGTTGGGTTTTTTCCTGTCTCTACTTATCCCACTTCTATTTTTGTTTCTGAAATGGATTACTGCAGAAACTCTGCCACGTAAAAGATACTAAATTATTACTTTTTCCTCATAATGAAGAATGTGCTTCATAGCAGAGGCTGTGTCAAAGTACAAAGTTACAAGCAGGCAGCATATTCCACTAATTGCTGTTCATAATTGTCATCTCAGGCTTGAGCAGTCCCACTACCCAGAAAGTGTAAAGCATAAGAAATTAAATCATCTGAAACAGGATGCTTTTGGGTAGTTGATTTTACTTTTTCAGTTTAATCTACATGTAATCCCACAATAACTTTACATATTGTCTCTCAGGCTCGCTATCCATTCCCAGGGCTCTTCAAAATCAAGATGTAAGCCTGAGCAAAAACTGACAACACACACACAAAAAAGGTTTTCCAAAGAGTTAATTCTGCCACAAGTTCTCTGGAGAATGGCATTGGTCTCAGCAACATGTACTGCAGACAGGAAAACTGATAAAGGCAGCTCACAGAATTAAGCCCAGAGTCTCTGATGCTGCATGATACCACAGATGGGTGAATGCCCAAATTATCAAAGATTTTATTATTAAATTTATTATTATTAAAGATGCCCTTTGACTATCAGAGTAGTTCAGTAAGTAGAAAACAGTGAGCTAAAATGCCAGTCTGGTTGTACCACAAATAAAATTAATGTTAACGATCTACACTGCTAGAAACCTGGTGTCATCAGCATTTGGAAATTGGTGGACTTTTGAGCAATGCCAGTCAGTTTGCTGCTGCTTACAGAAAGCACATGAGCCCTGCAGGAATGTGTGAAGGAAAGCACTGTGCACATCGGGGTGTCTGTGCAGTGCTCTCCCCTGAGGTGTCACACATATGCAACAGAATTAATGAGGCCTCAGGTGGACATCTCATAAACACAGCTTTTCCAAATGAAAGCACCCATCTCACTAGCTGGTGACAAAAGTTAGTACCTGATTTTTTAATTTCTACATTTTCACCATTTTGCTGAGCATTGCAAATATCTTGAAAGAACAAACACGGGCTTGGTCTACTCATTGCAACTCTAGGACTGACAAAAGGAAAAAACATTCAGGGGAACAAAGACTAGAGGGACCAAAAGATGGGAACAGAAAAGTCAGGCTAGAGCTAGAAAGTATGTCAGGCAAAAGATGGAACCTACATCTCCTTGCAACATAACCTGATGGACTTAGGTTCCCATGGGATCACTCACATCTGTGACAGTGTCTTCTCTTCTTCTCCTTTGTGGGGTGTTTTTCATTCCTACTCATTTATCCCTGCCTGCATAAGGATATAACACCTTCTAATCCTTTTGTGAGAGCTCAAAGACTCCTCTTTTTGGTAGTGTTTCTAAATATTGAATTTTGAACTAATGGCAGCCTGGAAGGATGTTACCAGGCATCAGTATTGTGTTGAAGGGTAATTCTTGCAGGAATTTGCAGTGACTTTAGTTCACTTCATGCAAGCAAACTGTTTAATAGGAAAAGCCATGTCAGAGCTTATTAAGCAATGTTTACATGGAGTTCAGGACAAATAGCATAAGTCCCACTTCTCAGTACAAAAATATGTATCACTTACGTAGATTCACCCCAGTTTGACTTTATAAATTGTTAATAAATAGTGCCAAGGCCTACCAAAATACTAAGCCAGCTTAATGATAAACTAAAAGCTTTCCATTTCCTTGCCTTGAAATAACAACTCCCATGTGTTTTATACAGTTATTACCTTCGGGGAATTTAGACTTTCATGAGTGCTCTGGCTATTTACTTTATTTGCTAATGGAGTTAGCTAGGCTGTAATGTGAGGAAAGTTGAAAGGGCAAAAACTGGTTTGTGTTTAGAAGTGCCTAGCAATTTGCAAAGGAAATAATAAAAGTAAATTAAAAAAAATATATATCCAAAGTAGTCTGTTACTTCTAATAATGCAGGGAGATGCATTCCCTCTATTTTAGCTGTCAGCCTTAACAGGTCAGAGAAAATTTTTAGCTGAGCAGCCCAGTTTGCTGAGTGTAATTGTTTAAATTCCCCCTAGGGCAAGGCAGGTATGTCTACAAACCTGCAAAGTCACCTTGGCCAGTTTGTTGTTTCCCTTGTTTATTCAGACAGTTTTCTGGTCCTGGGAAGACAGCCCCCCAGAGCTGGTGACAGACCCCCACAGGGGCTCATCCTGGAGGTGCAGGCATGAGGGGCCGGAGCCTGTGTGCTGAACCTCTGTGCTGCTGAGGTTCTGGCAGCTGGGAAGGTAAAACACAGAAGCAGGCTGTGAACCCAGGAGATCACTCAGAGAGTTCCTGGGGGAGACTGACCCCATAATTACAGGCCTGGAGGACTGGGAAGAAGACCCTGGCTTTGCTAGCTTGAACAATACACCTTTCATATTAAATCTCCCTAGGATAAAATCTACAAGAAGCCCTGTGAGGAGGGAGCAAAGCAAGCCCTACATGACTGATTGAAGCGTTTCTCACAGCTGGTCTGATATCCCAGCGGGATGCTTGTGTGAACTGGACTTTGATGCATCTATTAACATTTCCTTCCTTTCGTCTTGGCGGGATGACAGAGACTCGTTAGATTTTGGACAGAGGCAGGCTCACTCTGGGCTCAAAGCTAACTCAAGACCTCTCTCAGGCCCCTCCATGGGCTGCCCCAGAGCCTTGGGAGTGTGTAACACACCATGGAGCCCCACAGCTCATAAACCCCATCCTCGGGATTTACAGCTCTGGCCCAGCACTGTGCTGATGTCTTTATGGAACTTCCCTTTCTCCCCCTCTCTCCTCCATCTCAAATGCCTGCCCTTGATGTACAACATCAGCACACTCCTGCACGCTGTACTGATAGTATTTCACTTGTGTGAGAGAAAAACAGCAATCTGCCTTATTTTGTTAGTGGCATTACCAGCACCCTAGATGCCATCCAAGGGCAGAGGCTGAGTCTTAGTGCAGAATTACGGATATTCATTATTTTAAAAGCCCTGTTACAATCCCATCTGCTGTTTATTTGCTGCAGCATTGTCAGGTTTCAAACTGTAGGAGAGGAAAATAGAAACTAGTGCAACAAATGAGGCTGTATTCATTACTGAATGGCTGAATTTCATTATTGCAGAGGTTTTTTAATGGGTTTAACAAGGACTTTTTAGATATTATTTTCAAATCATCTATTTAAACAGGCGCAAGATGCTAGATATCAAATGAAGCAAGCATCTAAATCCTCAGAAAAAAACCCTGATAAAATAGCTCACTTACTTTTGCTGTTTTGCTTCTGCTGCCAGCACTTGAAGAGTTCCATGCAGCAAGTTGTACAATTAAAATTAGTGTATGAGCTAGAAAGAACGACTCATCTGAGAGAGCTCATACAAGTACCAGTCCTGTTTCTGTCTTCTGATAGACCTGAGCTTGCAGGGCAGCTCTGGAACATGTCGGTCCCTGTAGTCATTCAAACATTGTCAGGAAGATGCTGGCAGCAGGAAACAGGCCAGTCTGGCAAACATCACCATTTTCCAGCATAACTGAAATGGAAGAACTCAGAAATAAGGGAAAGTGATTTGTCTTTCCAGACCAAAAAAAAAAAATGCACAACTTTAAACAAAGTGAGTAAAAAATGCACTGTCATCATTTATTTACTTTAAATCCTCCAGAGGCCACGGCAGTGACCTGAGTGGACAGGAGTTTATTTAATATTGGAGTGAATAATTCTCTTCAATTGCCTTCAGCATAAGGGATTGGGGTTGCAGGAAAAGATGTGGATGTGGCCAGCCTGTAAGAACCTAGAAGTGAATGGGAATATGGACTGTAAACCAAAACATGTTAATCTTGAAAATCTTTAAAAACCCCAATCAGAGGAAACTAGAAGAGCTGTCTGAATGCTGGGAACAAGCTGGGGTGTAGCTGGAGCAACAAAGCTCTGTTCCCCTACTCTCCCATCTGCTAGCGACCCTTCCCGCTTGCAGGACTGTGAACCCACCTAATGAGGAGGTTCAGTGCACGCTGTGGGCTCCAACAGAACACGGCTGAATTTCCCTTCTACTGCTTCTCCGCTGTTGCTGTGCAGTGACCTGTGGAGTTAATAAACTTTTATGCCCATTATTGTTCCTCATTACAATAGACATTATCAGTGTCCTCCCCCTCCTCTTCAGAAGATTCAACCACTTTATCTCAGCAATACATTAGTAAAATAGCACAATAACCGAGACACTTTATATATTCAACTGTCTAAAAGACAGACTAAAATGCAGACTACTTGCCTGTTTCTAAAGGCTTGAGTAAAAAGTTAAATACAGATGCTGTGCAGGGCTCACAAGTTGTGTAATTATTTCCACAAGCTGTTTTCTCTTGTAAGTAAAAACTTTAATTCTTTCTTTTTTCCTCACCACCCTCCTCAGAGGGCAAGAATTCTCATAAACGCAACCTTCAAATAATCATGTTTTTACTACCAGTATATAATTTAATTTAAAAGGAAAGGAGGGGGAAGTTTACAGGGTTCTTATTATCCAACTGTTACATTTCATGATTAAATTCATTAAAGCAATAATTCAGAGCAAAGGGGTGGTGCTGAGGGCAGGAAAGTTTACAGTGCAAATACTTAGTGAGCCATGCTGTATAGCCAGGCCTCTTATATTGTGAAAATGATTTATTGAAAACAACTTGATTACATTTTCAGCCCTACTACTGCTGGGTGATTAGATGAGAGCCCTTTGTTGTTATGGCTGTCTACTTTAACTAAACTTAACTCCATCTGCTTTTCATTTAGCAACCACCAGATCTCTCTGGCAGGCAGCTGCCAGGTAAAGAGCAATTTGGAGACTGATGCTGCTGGGGGTTTGCAGCCCTCAGTTTGGTTCCCTGACCTCCCACAGGCTTCCTGCCAGAAAGTCTGACATCCCTTAATCCCTCAGCAAGGTCCCTTGAAATAGCTCCTCCATCTTTGTTTATTTAGACTAAAAATTTCTCAGGCAGGGTCTCTTTTACTAGACTGAAACTGCTGCATGTTCAGGCACTAATGGAGTGCAAATACTGCAGACAGGAAGATTCGGTATCATTATGTTTATGTCGTCTGATAGTGCAGTTGAAAACAGCACTAGGGTTGGGCCTGAAGGACCTGAGCATCTCTTAGGTTTCACCACTATTGTAAGGAGAAAAAAAAAATAATCTAACATCTTGTGATTTATCTGACTTCAGCTTGTGCCAGGCTCTTTACAGCAAGAACTTCAGAACGTGCAATTGTGTTTGGAAATGGCATGTGTGCAGGAAATGAGGACAACTTTTTTTGACCACTTTCCAATGCATGAATGATTGCTGCCTCTGCATTCTCGTGTGCACATATGTAATTTCATTTAATTTTTATGCTTTCCCAATAGCAAGGAAAACATTGTAAGGCCCTTTGGACCTAACGCTGCTATCAGAAGCACTGACATACATCCTGTGGGATACCCATAGTGTGCTTGCTGATATGTCTGAATATGAAATCTTCCATATCAGATCTGCAAATGGGTTTATATGTGCACCACAGATGGGGGAGCTCTTCTGCAGGGGGGGAGAAACTCCCTAACTGGTTATCTTGAGTGTTTCAGTATTTGCATTTGACATGGAGGAGATTATACGAGCGCCCTTGGCATTGAAAGGGGCTCAGAGTCAAATGTGAATGTTTCCTGTGAGGTACACAGCAAATAACAGAGACAGACAAGGGACCTAAAGCTAAACTAAGCAGAGAATTTTCTTCTTATAAATTTCTGTACTTTATTCTGAGATAGGGACATACTTACCACTGCTGTTTAGACCTCAGATCCAAATTGAAGGCCTAGATTTATTTTTTGTTTCAAAGAGAGAAAATATTTCCCACCACTTCAAAAGGGAAGGAGAGGGTTTTTGCCCACCTTTAGGATAAGTACTCCTCTTGCATAGAACCCCAGCAATCCATGCTGCCTCCCCTGGCAATAGTCTTAATTCCCAGGATGGGTCTGCATCCTCAGGTGCACTCTCAGCTCTCTGCTCACAAGTAATAAGAAAAAATATTCACTACAGAGGAAAGAGCAATCTTTTGGCTTATGAATTAGAGGTATCACCTGAAGCTGAGGAAAGATGGATTCTAGTCCTTCCCCTGAATGATTAACATAACATGATATAACTGTGCAATGGGGATGGGTAGCACATAATTTACACTTCAGAGCAGTTTCTCAGCAGGCAGGTGGTGGGAGATTAATCTTTCAGCTTTATCCCAAGAGCCTGACTCAGGAAACCTGCTATAATAGGGATTTTATACTTTGTTCCCTTTTGAGAGGTAGATCAGGAAGGTTCCCATCTCTCTTTATCCCTGGAGGCTGCATGTTGCTCATCCAGTTCCGTCCTTCAGTTACCAGAGCTCATCAATCCCCTGGCTAGGAAGTGTTATTCTATAGCCTGTCTTATAGAGAGCCACAGGGAGTGAAGGTTGCAAATGTTAGCTAAACAAATCAAATTACTGGCTTGTATGTCCAGCCTAAGTGAAGAGAGGGTTACATGTGCATTCAGGGAAGCTATTAAAAGTGAAGTTTTTGTGGCTAAATAAAAGGAAATGTGTGCTTGGGAAACTGATTTCCCTGTTTAGTCTGTTTTCAACTGGCTCCCTAAGGTTTCTGGTTTCATCCAGGGCTATATCCTCAGGCCAGGATATTAAAGTTTCTGGAGACAGTGAGAAAAGATGGAAACACACAGGCCCTGCAAATGTCCTTAAAATTAACTAAAAAATGTGCTACAGTGCAGGATAGACAAGAAACCCTTCCTGACCAGAGCAATTCATGTCTCAGTTTCCTTCTTTTCCACCAACATGTACTGTTGTTTTTTTAAAAGATTGTTACAGCTACTTTACCTAAAAAATGTAACATACATGATTGTATCATGCATATTTTTGGTGTGTTCAGACAACATATTGAATTTTTACAATAGCAGCTATGAAGTATCATTCATAAAATAAAAAGAGCCAGAGTTTTTGTGACTTGCTTGCTGTAATCCTGAGACAAAAAGACATAAAACCATATTGGGCTCAGATCCTGTTCTGGATTATTCTTCTTCTACTCATGACTGCAGAAACTGCAATGGGACCTAAGTGACTGTTCTCATCTCACAAAATATTGCCTCTGTTGCTTGAAAGCCCTCCAATAGGTATAAGAGGAAATTAGGAAGGGAAAGTAACTGGCTGTGGTATATGGGCTGAGATATATCACATCTGCCTTGTTTAATCTCTAAAAATAAAAAAAAAAAAATAAAAAAAGGAAGGCTTTCTGAATAAGATGAAGCTGTTTCACAATTTTTCTATTTAGCATCTTCCCCACTCCTGTGTGGTAACTGTTTCTCTCACCTCACCCATGCAGAGGTGTCTGTAGATGATGTTCCATTCTTCGGGTGGTAAAGGCTCAGGATCTCCAGAGCCATTCCTTATTTTACCTGAAGTGACAATCTGGACTTCATTTAGCTGCTGCACATTGTATTGAAGATAAGGAGATCACCTCAACTGCCCACTGAATTCACTTTTGGCAGGGTAATGAGCAAGGTCAGAATAGAACAGTTTAGGTTTGAAGGGGTTTTTAAGATCTCCTAGTTAGAATCATAGAATCACAGAATATTCTAAGTTGGAATGTACCTACAAGGATCATGGACATGCATCTCCAGGCCCTGCACAGGACATCCTCCAGTCACACCATGTACCTGAGAGTGTTGCCCAAACTCTTCTTGAACTCTGTCAGGCTTGGAGCTGTGACCAACTCTGTCAGGCTTGGAGCTGTGACCACTTCCCTGGTGTGCCTGTTCCAGTGCCCAAACTCCCTCCAAATGAAGAATCTTTCCTGAATATCTGATTTAAAGCTACCCTGACATAGCTCCAAGCTTTTCCCTTGAGTCCTGTCACTGATCACCAGAGAGAAAAGATCAGTACCTGCCCCTCTGCTTCCCTTCATGAGGAAACTGCGCTGAAGTCTCTGCATCTCCTCCAAGCTGAACAAGTGACCTCAGCCACTGAAGTCTCTGCATCTCCTCCAAGCTGAACAAGTGACCTCAGCCATTCCTCATAAGGTTTCCCCTCAAGGCTCTTCACTGTTTTTGTAGCCCTCTTCTGGACACTATAGCTTTGTAACGCTATTAGAGAATAATCTTACAACCTTCTAAATACTGTGATGCCTAAAGCTGCACCCAGCACTTGAGGTGAGGCTGCCCCAGTGCAGAGGAGAGCAGGAGAGTCACTTCTCTTGCCTGGCTGGCACTGCTGTGACTGATGAACCCCAGGACATGGTTGATCTTCCTGGCTGCCAGGGCACACTTCTGACCCTCCCATGGGCTGGGACACCATCCACTAGACCAGGTTACTCTGGGCCCTACTCAACCTGGCCTTGAATACTTGCAAAAGTTGGGCATTCAAAACTTTTCTGGGCCACCTGTTCCACTGTCCCACTGCTCTTATGGCAGTGATGTGAGATGCCCATGGGTTTGCCAAGGAAACTATGGCTGAGACTACTCTCACTTTACTGTCAGTCATTCTGAAGATGAGGTAACTTGACATGGTTAGAAATAACTTAATGTTAATGCTTAAACCACAATTAATGTGATTTATTTTAATAAGGATTTATTTTAAGAATAAATAATCAAGAACACCCCATTTGAGCTCATTTGTGACAAGTCCTGCATGGATCTCCTGCATTGTCTGCATTGCAAATTAATAAATTTTAATTCTATCATTATATACTGCCCACTCACAGTTAGAAGAATCATTTGTTTCTGATGTTCACAGCAAGCTGTGAAGATAGGAGAAAAGGGGAAAAGAAAAGTCTATTCTCAAACTGTGGTGCAGAACAGGAAAGTTTGATGAAAAAGAACCTCAAAATCTCCATGTGATGCTAGTAAAATCAGTTCCAATACGTGGAGGAAAGATATATCAACACAAGGCTTCTTGTTTTCCAACAATAAATCTTTCATATATACATAGGAAAAACAAGGCCTATCAGAAAGGTGCCAAAATCTTGTTCTGCATTTAAGCATTTCTTTGCTGATATTTTTCTGAAATAATGTTAAAACATCTGAGCATTGACAGCTTCCCAGGCATCAGTCTAGAAATAACATTATGAAAGGTGACTAGAGCAACTGACACTAGAGGAAAAAGAGGTAAAGTCTTTGACTTGAATAAGAAAGGAGCACTTCTGTTCTATATGAAGCACTCCATCTCATCCATCATATGTCAAACTTTATCCTTGCCCAACTGAAAAATCAGGGAAGCAGTTGTGGAATTGCTAACAGTTGAAGGGATAGTGAGACTCCTCTTTGTAGAATTCTTTCTAATTCCCTTGAGGCAATTCCCAGGTATTTCCCTGTTGCTTCCTAATGCCTCAGCCGCCTCTGGTTTCTCTAGAGTGCTTGGAATTCCATCCCCTTCCCCTGCTAAATTTGTTTTTAAGCTCTGTTTATGAGTTGAGCCATCTAATTTCCCACAGAACTCCCAGGAAAATATATCACCAAAAGGTGACAAAAATCATTCTCAGATTCAGATCTCTCAATTACCAGGAATCCCTGGCAGTGCTTGACCCTTCTAACATAGCATCACCTGTGGATCAGATATGGGATTCTGGAGAGAGAAAAATGTGTAGAAAGAACTTGTTGTGAACAATTATGAAACTATTTGCCCAAAAGAAAACTTTCTTCCCTGCTCCCAAATTTCTAGTTGCATTTGGCAGGAGTTAGTTCAGGCTGCATGACCCAACCTCTTCCACGGTGACTCAGCGTTTCATTGCCTGCAGTTCTTTGCAAAGCAGCCATAAGGTGAAGTCTGTTTCCTTTTCTGTAGAAATAGGGACAGCAGATGGCTTGTGGAAGAAACTAAGCTACATTTCAGGTCCTCCTGGGGCTTATTTAACTCAACCTTCCACATAAATAGTCAGATTGTGCTTACTTGCTGATGAAGAAAAGTCTATTTTCAAGTTCTTTTATTTTCAGAAGACATAAATGTCAGCAGAGGTTGACATAATGCTCAAGCAGTTTTAGTAAATGAGTAAAAATTAAATTTAAATTGCAGAGGGAGGATAATAATATCATCACTTCTATTGTGAAAACCTAAAATAAGGGCAGAAAACCTATTTCACAAACTTTCTGAGTTTTTACAATAACAATTCTTAGTCTGCCATATGCAGATCTGAGCTAGTAATGAGTATTCAGACCTTTAGTTTCAGGCTCTCTGATCAATTTTTTTCAGTCTTTGTGTGGCTGACACATTTTTAAATTAATTTGCTTTGACATTTCTAAGATTTATTTCCAAAAAAATTATCTATACACTTTATATATCTTCCTAATGGTAAACTAAGTTTGTTGAAATATCAGAAATTTGTCATTTCAGTGTCTGCTTGTAGTCTATAAATAAGGCACAAGAAATACCCCATCATTTGCAATGCAAGCTGATACAAATTATGCATTTTCTTAATCAATAAACTAGGCTTATAAATACTTTTATCTGATGCTCACGTTACATATTTATCTGACGCAGGGCTGTCAAGTTAAATTATCTTCCAAAAGTTCATTCAAAGACATGAATAAACAAACACCCCAAAAGAGATGAGGATTTCTGAAAAAGTTCTACCTCCTATCATTTAAGAAATGTGTACATCATGTCACTGAAACATTGAAATTTAACTGAAAGATCTTGTAAGCTGGGATTCAGAAGGGTTTTCTTGTTTCCTATTTCTACTACACCTTTTCATTTTTTAATGAACTTTTAAAAATGTTTCCTAACAGATACAGAGCTATGAAGTCCATAACATGGAATGACAACCTAATCAAATAACATGGAATAACATAATTGAAAAAGGAGGTAAAAATAGGGAGTTCTGAGAATAACAGAACCTGCAGAAAAAAAAAAACAAACCCAAGCCCCCATGTTATATAATCTGAGTTAAAAGTCTGTCCTAAGACAATTGAAGTGACCTGAGGGCATCCAGAGCTGCTCTCCACCCTGCTGCTGCAGTTGG